CTCTGATGCTAAGGAGTTCTACTCCACCTCCCCACCTGAAAAGAAATCTCCAAATGCAAAACACAAGCAGAGGAGTTTCAGTTTCAGTTTTAGCTTCATAGCACCAAGCAGCTTTAGTACAGAACAGTTGAGCTAAGCCACGCCCAGGCTCCTTGCTGTCTCCTTCTTGCTCACACAGCAAATACTGCTTCAGTTTCCAAAGAGCCCTCAACTCTCACACACTGACAGGACGCTAGCCAGATGAATACTGATGGATGCTGGTAGGCAGAGGCAGAATTTTTTTCTTCTTATTTTCCTCCCCAAAAACTAAGCCTGACCACATAGTTTTGTAGCGAAGCACGGGTATCCAGCTAGTCTAGTATATGCCAATATACTGAATTTCCATCATGTACTATTCATCTATGTTCTATTGATCATATTTAGTCTAGTCCAATCCAGCTACAGCAGCCTAAAATGTAATTTTACAACACTTTTCTAAGTGAAATTAATGTAACCTCTTCTGAATTATTATCTTCGATTTAAGGGCAAAAACACTTCGCTAGGACATCTTGTTATTCCCCATATATGGTAGCAAATTAAGACCCCAGATTTATTCTTAATTGTAATTTCTGGACAGCAAAGCTGTCCACCTTACATCCTGATTCCATTTCCTGTTTACTTTAAATAATTTCGCCTCTGCATCATGAAAAAAATCACGTCAGTTGGCTTCTTGGGAAGTCCGCCTATACTTCCTTCTGCGTCTCCAGGAGAAATGGCCAGCTGTTGCACTTTCAGAAGACAAAAAGAAAAAAGAAAAAAACCCAAACCCAAAACATTTGGAAAACTGTCAGCTGGATTCATGTTTGGCATCAATAAGATTGAATTTAAAAATGGTTTAGTATCTGATGCAATAGAAACCCAGTTGTTGTGGCTTAAACATCCATGATATATGTGCTAGTTTGTTGCGTGAGCCTAAAGTAAAGGTTCCCCTCGCACATACGTGCTAGTCGTTCCCGACTCTAGGGGCGGTGCTCATCTCCCTTGCAAAGCCGAAGAGCCAGCGCTGTCCGAAGATGTCTCCGTGGTCATGTGGCCGGCATGACTAAATGCCTTCGAAGGCCCACGGAGCGCTGTTCCCACCGAAGGGGTCCCTATTTTTCTACTTGCATTTTTTAACGTGCTTTCGAATTGCTAGGTTGACAGAAGCTGAGACAAGTGACGGGAGCTCATTCAGTTACGCGGTGCTAGGGATTCGAACCACCGAACGGCCAATCTTTCCAATCGACAAACTCAGCGTCTTAGCCACTGAGTCACCACGTGTGACTACCCAATTTTCAATCTGTAAAACCATGGGTAATAAGTCCTCGGTGCTCTTTGAACTTGGTGGTTTTCTTTCTGCAGATGTTTCATTACCCAACTAGGTAACATCATCAGTGTAGAAGGGAGGGAGATTTGCAGAGGAGGAGGAGGAAGAAAAGGAGGAGGAGGGGGAGGGGAGGAGGGGGAGGAGGAAGAGAAGGAGAAGCGGGGGGGGGGGCTGTCTTGGTGCTGAGCTTGGTGGTTTCCTTGCAGACGTTTCATGACCCAACTAGGTAACATCATCAAACAAAACATCAGTGAAGGGAGATTTGGAGAGGGGAAGAGGAGAAGGGAAGGAGGAAGCGGAAGGGGAGTTGAGGGAGGAGGAGGAAGGGGAAGGGGAGGGGAGGGGGAAGAAGAGGGGAAAGAGAGGAAGGAGGAGAAAGAAGACAGTTGTGAGGCTTGGTTTGAGTTTGGGTGTGAGTTTGGTTGTGCTCTTGCAGACATTTCATGACCCAACTAGGTAACATCATCAGTGCTAGAAGGGAGTGGGATGTGTGGATGGAAGAGAAGGATCAGGAGACGGGGAGGAGGACTAAGGGGTCCTTGGTGGTCTCTGAGCTTGGTGGTTTTCTTGGCAGACGTTTCATGAACCAACTAGGTAACATCATCAGCGTTAGGAGGGTTTGTGGAGGGAACAGAGAGGTGTTGTATTGTATACAGAGGAAGAGCAAACCTCACTCTCTTCTAGCATTGTTACCTCGTTGGGAAACGGAGCTCACAATTGAGCCCAACGTTTTTGTAGTTAAGTGAGACATTTGTTTAAGTGAGTTTTGCCCCGTTTTACGACCTTTCTTGCCGTCGTTAAGTGATTCGCTGCAGTGGTTAAGTCGCAACCGTCATAAATACGAGTCAGTTGCCGGGGGGGGGGTCTGAACGTTGATGGTGGGACCATGGGGAGGAACACTGCAATGGTTGTAAGGGTGAACAATAAAACCCCGTCATAAGCCCCTTTTCTTTCAATGCCGCGGTTCAGTTTGAACTGCCACTAAACGAACTGTCATAAGTCGAAGACTGCCTGTGTGTCCCCTTTTAGACCTGTGCAAAAGGTGGGGTGTGACCCCAGAACGTGCATAAGAAAGAAACCAAGATCTCCTCCTGTGCATTGCATTAAAGCCTTCGCCTGCCTGCCAGGCTGACTGAAAAATGTATCGTTGGTAGCATTCACACAATACCCTTGACCCGGGTTGGCAGGGAACCTTCAGGACTGGGCTGCATGCAACAAGAGGGCAAAATCAGACCCTCAGGAGAGCTCAGCCCTTGTCAGAAATGGCTGCTTGGGCGGGGTTGGACTAGATGACCTCCAAAGGTCCCTTCCCGCTCTGTTCATCCGTGTTGTTCTGTTCTAAGGTTGAATGACAGACCTGGGAAGATGCAACCATCCCCATTTACAGCCTCCTTGTATTTCCAAAGGTTCTCTTAGCCTCCTCTTCTGCCCCCAAAACCTCAATGGTACATCCCAAAGCACTCGATCCGAAACCGTAGGACGAGCCCATTCCCAGGGAATCATTTACGGATGAGGGGGGGAGCAAAAAAGAAAAAAAAGGAAGCTCTCCCGCGGTACGGAGAGGAGGCGGGACTAAACGGCCGAGCCAATCGCCAGGGGCTCGCGGACCCCGCCGAGGGGGCGTGGTCCGGCGGAGGACGTGGGGAGGGCTGCGCCTGCGCGCGGGCAAAGCAGGCCAGCGGGGAGGGAGGGAGGGAGGGAAGGAGTGGAGGCGAGCGGGGTCGCCGCCGTTTCGTCTCTCGGCGTTGGCGGAGAACGAGCGAGAGGGCGGGAGGGAGGGGCGGGGAGGAAGTCGGGGGGCCCTCCTCGGGGGGGGGGGGGGGGGGGAGAAGAAGGCTCGCGGAGGAGGGGCCGGAAGTCTGGGCGGCGGCGGCGGGAGCGGCAGGGAAGCCGGGCGGCGGCGGGGCGGCTCCTCCTCAGGCTGGGTCGCCGGAGCGTCGGCGGAGGATGGAGCAGCAGGAGGAGATCCTGAGGCGCTTCATCCAGCGCGTGAGGGCCATGAAGGACGCCGCCGAGCGCCACGGGGAGGACAACTTCGCCGCCGACTTCATGGTACGCCGGGCTCTGGGTGTCTGGGGGGGGGGGCGGGCGGGGGGGAGGGGGGGGCGGGGGGGGGGGGGGGGGGGGGACGCCGCCTTTTGTGTGGCCCCGCCTGGGAGAGGCCTCGGGGCGCCCCCTTCCTTTCCCTCCCTTCCCTTGTCCTTCCTTCCTAGTCTTTTCCTCCCTCCCTCCCTCCACCTTCCTCCCATCCTTCCTTTCCTTTTCCTTCCTTCCTTCCTTTTTCTCCTTCCTTCCTTCCTCCCCTTTTCTTTTTCTCCTTCCTTCCTTTCCTTTTCCTTCCTTCCTTCCTTCCCTTTTCTTTTTCTCCTTCCTTACTTTCCTTTTCCTTCCTTCCTTTCTCCTTCCTTCCTTTTCTTTTCCTTCCTTTCCTTTTCCTTCCTTCCTTCCTTCCTTTCTCCTTCCTTTCCTTTTCCTTCCTTCCTTCCTTCCTTCCTTCCTTCCTTCCTTCCTTCCTTCCTGTTTCCTTTTCTCCTTCCTTCTTTTGCTCTCTATCTCCTTCCTTCCTTTTTTCCTCCCTCCCGCCCCTTTTCTTTCTCTCCATCCTCCCCTACCTCCCTCCCCTTTTCTCTCCCCTCCCTTTCTTCCTCCATTCCATTTTTTCCTTCCTCCCCCCCTTATCCACATCTCCTTTTCCTTCCCTTCCTTTCTCCCCTTCACTCTCTTCCTCTCCCTTCTCCCTCCTTCCCCGCATTCTTTTTCCCTGGGGATTGCAGTTTTCATCAAGGTGGGCAGATTCACAGCCCCCCCCTTTTTTTGAAACCCTTCTTCTGGACTGGTGATGTAATTCTTCCTTTTTCCTCTTTCTCCACACCGGCCTCTGTGTGTGTGTGTGAGAGAGAGAGAGAGAGAGAGAAAGACTTTCCAGGTCCTGCCCACCATCTTCTCCCCTTGCTTTAATGGGGATGGTGGCCTTTTCTCTCTCTCTCTTCTCACTCTCTTTCCTTTTCCCTCCCTCCCTTTCTCTTTCTCTTTCCCACTCTCTTCTCTCTCCCTCCCTCCCTCTCTCTCTCTTTCTATCACACTCTCTTTCCATCTCTCTCTCTCTCCTCCCTCCCTCCCTCTTTCCCTCTGTCCTCCCTCCCTCCCTCCCTCCCTCCCTCTCTTTCCCTCTCTTTCTGTCACACTCTCTTTCCATCTCTTTCTCTCTCTCCCCTTGCCTTCACCGGCCGTATTTTCCTCATTAGATCTTTTTAAGGAGCCTGGCAGCCTTTTTTTAGCTGGTAGCCTTAAAGGGGCCCGGGCTTCCCCCGTATTTAGCCTAACAACTGGTTCCAGCTCCGTCATCTTTGGATGTATTTTTACATTCCCCCCCCCAACCCCTTGGCTAGATGGACAGACAGGATGGGGCGACATCCGTTTGTGGATCACGGGGCTAGTTCCTTTTAAGGATCGGTCCGAGGGCATCCTATGGAAGCCTGAGCAGAAAACAACCTGTGTGGAGAGAGCCGGCGCTGTTTTGGGTTGGAAACACAGACAATTTTCCAAGCCAGGGTCAAACCGATGGACAGGGGAAGCGGCTGCGCGGGATGTTGTGAAAGATCCAGGAGGCTGTCCAAAGTTGGGCCGGGTTTGAGGCCTGGGAAGAGGAAGTGGATATAGGAATCGTTTTCCTCTTGCTGATTTAGAAAAGCCTGGAAATAAAAAAAAAAGAAACTGAGACTCTTCTGGCTGAAAAAATCCCATTGTTCCTCACAGGGCAAATTAAAAAAAACAATAACTAGAAATCTAGGTTGTTTTTTTTTCTCCCCGGCATACTTTGAGGTTACCTTGGTGCACATGCTCTAAGCTGCTGTCAGACTCTTTCATAAATCTGGAATATACATCGTGAGGAAGTTAAGAATGTGATCCTTGTGCGTTTCATCAGAGCTCTTGCGCTTTGCATGTTGTTGTGAAACAAAGGTGCAAGTCCTTGTGTTCTAATAGGAGAGGATATAGTGAGAAGAGAATGAATGAAAGAGCTGGAAGGGACCAGGGAGGTCTTCTAGTCCAGCCCCTGAGCTCCTGCCTGAACCTATACAATTTCAGATAAGAGACTGAAATATTTGTCCTGGTTGTCTCTGAGCTTGGCTCTTCCCTGGCAGACATTTTATCACCCAACTACATAATGTCATCGGTGATAGGGAATAGGTGATAGGGTTTTGTTCAGTGGTGGGATTCAATTTTTTTTTTACTACCGGTTCTGTGGATGTAGCTTGGTGGGCGTGGCAGGGGAAGGTTACTGCAAAATCCCTCTTCCCTCTTCCCACCCCACTAACCTGCTTTCCAGCTCTGTTCTCCTGTGCAGGGCAACCAAAGAAGACCCAGCTGATCAGCTGGGACTCAATGGGAGGCGGAGAAAAGACTGGCGGGGCCAGTCAGAGGCGGTATTTTCCAGTTCTCCAAACTACTCAAAATTTCCACTACCGGTTCTCCAGAACTGGTCAGAACCTGCTGAAGACCACCTCTGGTTTTGTTCCCTGTGTACACTTGCAGGTCCTCAGAAATCCTCAGAATTGAGCTCAACGTTTTTGTTGCTAAGGGAGACGTTTGTTAAGTGAGTTTTGCTCCCAGTTTACCACCTGCCTTGCCACGGTTGTTAAGTGATTCTGGCTTCCCTGTAAACCGATAGGGGCTGATCCCATTTCCCCCGGGACACAGCAATGGTCATAAGTACGAGTAGGTTGCCAAGCATCTCAATTTTTGATCACGTGACCATGGGGGATGCTCCAAAGGGTGAAAAAAATGGTTCAAAGTCACTTTTGTCGTTGCCTTGTAAATTGGAACGGTCACTAAATGAACTGTTGTAAGCTGAGGACTACTTGTATGCTGCTTACTGTCAAGAGCTACGTAAATGAACCTGGAAATTGCAGGAAATCTGTAGAAATCGTAGCAAGATTTGATCCTAATCATGTCTGAAATACAGAGATCTTACCTTGTTGCCAGAGCAGCATATGCTAGAAAATAATTTTGATAGGAAGTTTGTATTTTTAATGGATGAATTTATACGGTGATGAGTATTTTTGAAAGGGAATTTTGTTTAGCCTCGGCACCTGAAATTTGCTTTGTCCTGTAAGTTACTGCAGTTGAAATGTAAGCTTTTGAAATATGCAGTGAATATTACATATTTTACTGTAATGAAAATTTTCTTTTTAAGAGACCTGCTACAAATAAAATGCCTTTATAATACGTCTTCTAATAAAGTAAAATGTAGTTTCTATTTATATGTGATGGGGGGAGGGGAAGAGGGCGAAATATTTATCTGTGTTGACTATCAGTTGGTTTCCAGCTGTATTAAGCTTATGCAGGAAAAATCTCAATTTCATGGACCATTCAGAGGGCTTGTCCATTAAATCCAAATTTATTTCTCTTACATCAGTTTGCATCAATTACACAATTATGTAATTGACATTAATGGCACTATTTGCAATAAAGCCTCTATTTAATGGACAGGTCTTTGATTTAATGGCTATTCATCCATGAAAAACAGATGAAGTTTTGAATGAAAGATTTATCTTTGACTGCAAAACTGGGGTCTGGTCTAACACATGGGGCTTGTGTTTTTAGTCAGTCTAAATTTCTAATATTCAAACAGTAAGATTTGGTAAGGTAGGTTTGTTCCCGTTTGCCTGCCTTAGGTAAGGCCCAAGGAGTTGAGTCTTCTCTGTTGCAGCTTACTCTCCAAGATTAGTCTTCTATGCTACTAGTACTAGGTAGTCCTCAATTTGAAACAGTTCATTTAGTGACTGTATATCTAATCATCTATCGGTCTGTCTGTATCCATATCTAATCTCTATATCTGTCAATATGTAATCATCTATCAGTCTGTCTGAATCTGTATATCTGTCTGTCTGTCTATGTCTCTCAATATCTAATCATCTATATATCAGTCTGTCTCTGAATCTGTCTCTCTGTATATCTATGTCTATCTAATCTATATATCAGTGTCTGTTTGAATCTGTCTTTATATCTAATTATGTCTGTCTATATCTCATCTATATATCAGTCTGTCTGAATCTCTCTGTCTTTATATCTGTCTATCTATCTATCTATCTATCTATCTATCTATCTATGTCTATCAATATCTAATCTACATATCAGTTTGCCTGTATCTGTCTCTCTGTCTTTATATCCATCCACCCCCTCTCTCCTCTTCTTTCCCCCTCCCTCCCTTTTCCCCCCTCCCTCCCTCCCTATCAATCCACCTATGTGGTTTTCTGTAGTAGCTGAGATACAGGTTAGTCCAGGCTCCTTTCTGGCGGAGTTTGGGGGAGAGAAAGAAAGACTTCTGTTGCTTTCCTTGCATGCAGTCAAAAGCAGAAGAAGAAAGAAGTGGGCCATGTGGGCGACGCAACCTTGTGTTCCTGTGCAGCCTGGATTAATTGCTTTGGAGGTGACATTTCTCTGCGGACCACCAAAATGTTCTCACGGACCACCAGTGGTCCCCGACCCACTGATTGGTGACCACTGGGATAGAGCGTACGGCTTCTGTTGGGCTCAGTGATGGTCGTAATTTGAGAACTACCCACACTGGATGGCCTTGTCTTTTGCCATGGGGGTGGGATGTATCTCAGATTGGTAGTCCAGTTCAGCGCCTTTATTGCATTTACACAAATACCAGCCTGGAGTATCAAGAACTTCAGCATTAAGTGCTGATTTTTTTCACCGGCTCTGGGAACCACCTCCTTGTGTGGAAATTGGCCTTGGTTTTTGTTGTTGTGAGAAGGCTTTGAGACGATCTCAAATGCGCCTGGTTTTTATTTTTGTGTGTGTAAGACGGTTGTGTAAAAAGGATGTCGGTCATCCTCCCATTGTTCTCCTCCATTCTAACTTGCTGAAGTTCGCCGGATGTCTCCAAGAGTCTGTTCCAGTGAGAACATACAGTGTATTTGTTTTAGTTGGCTTTCGACAATCCGTGGCCCGTTCAGCTGCTCTGGTACTCCATAATGGCTCAATTTTTCTCGCCTGCATAAAACCTCCTTAACAGCAAACATGGATATTCAGCGCTTGACGAT